GGGGTACTGGCGCGTGTAGAGCTAACCTCTCTCTCTTTTGTACAATACTATGAAACGGGAAACTTTTCAGAGGTACTGGCGCGTGTAAAGCTTACCTCTCTCTCTTTTGTGCACTACATAATAAGAAACTTTTCAGAGGTACTGGCGCATGTAGAGCTAACCTCTCTCTCTTTTGTACACTACAAAATGATGAAACTTTTCAGGGGTACTAGCGCATGTAGAGCTAACCTCTCTCTCTTTTGTACAATACTATGAAACGGGAAACTTTTCAGGGGTACTGGCGCGTGTAGAGCTAACCTCTCTCTCTTTTGTACAATACTATGAAACGGGAAACTTTTCGGGGGTATTGGCGCGTACGAAGCTAACCTTCTCTTTTTGGAAGAATATACTTCACTTAGGGAAACTTTATCAAGATATACTGCCACGTGGAGAGCTGCCCTTCTCTCTTTAATCTTTTGTACCACGAATTCGTTACTTCGTCTTGGCATTGAAATAGAAAGTCCTGTGGACTACTCATAAGTGAAATTCATTGTCATAGTTATGGAAAGCGCTGCTTTTGCAGTGTTGAGCTCAGTTGCTTGCTTCATCCAGTTCTATTCACATCGTTTTGTGGTGCTCTGAAGTCTCAGTAACATAGTCTCTCGAAAGTGCTTCGTTTGTCATTAAAGTGAATCTTTGTATTGGCAAAAGTGGTCAGTTTCTGTTGTTACGACACGATGGGCAATTCTGCGGCTAAGGTAATTACAAGTCGTTTTTTTTCGCTGCTAGCTTATTCGATACTTTCAAAATTTTTAACAAAATTACATTAAATATTTTTGTAAGCCTATAATATATAGCTTACGAATTTTCATTACATACGTATGCGGGATAATAATTATGTATATTTTTGGTTAATATTTCTGTATGATTTTGCCGGTCTGATGGTCTCGACAAGAAGTCTTATTTTAAACGTCAACATAAAGCGTTACACGTCGCAGTTGAATGTGGGAACTACAAAGTACTTAAGTTACTTATTAAAGCTGGTCACGACGTCAACTCTGCAAATGAGGACGGTCGCACTCCTTT